GACCTAATTTTTCTTCAATGTTCATGGCCAAAATTCTCACAGCATGCTTAATATAAATGAAAAGTAAATACATGGATGGCCTCAGGGCTATGAATAGAACATGTTTCATTCACAAACCTAAGCCTAACTCTTCCTAGATTGAGAGGTAGAAGTTCATGGTTTTACCTGTTTCAGCTTGAGTCGTGTACAACAATGTGGCCAACTTCAATGGAGTTTGAGCTTCTGTACAGCTTGCCTGAAGTCCAAGGAAGCTTCTCCAACACCTAGCTTGCTTTGAATCACTCTGAATCGTGCTATGGAAGTTCACCTGCAAAACTGAAAAATGAAAATGGCAGATGAGGTTAAGGGTGTTACAGCTTGAGTTCAAGGCTTGGGATAGTTTGTGTGGATGATATGGAATGTGTTTGAAAGGTTTTTAGTCAAAGTGCACGAGTGGATTGAGTTGTGGACCTCAATCTGCAGCAGACACTCTGTTTTTGCAGAAAAACTGTGATTTTGTGTATGAGGAGGGATGAGGGGTAGTTCAGTCGTGCTTTAGGCTTGCTTGGATGTATGAAAGATGTTTGCAAAGTTTGTTTTGGCTGGTGTTTACAGGAAGTGAGGGTTGGAGTTGTTTTGCAATGTTTCTTCCACCCTAAGCAAAGAAATGTCAAGTTGTGATATAGGCCTGTACCAAGCTCTCAAGCATGCTGCAGCACTTTATCTTGATCAGTGGGATATGTGTACAAACTCTTGCCTCAAAGATCTGGCCCATGCCTCCAAGATTTGGTATTTGACATAAAGCACCACTTTTCAAAAATGGCAAGTTTGCTTTTTCCATTTAAGGATTAATTCTATGTGTAATGACCAAATGCGCAAAACAACGCTTGAACACAATGGTTAGGCATTAAATTATTGAGTGTGAAGAGGTTTAGAGGCCTGCAAACTATCACAAACCCTGCTGACTTGAAAATGCAAATGTTATGAACAAGCTTTGGCCATGAACAAAAGTGAGTTTTTGCCAACTTTGCAAATTCGATTCTCTCTAACCACAAGGGTGTTTGATGAGTTCTTGGACAATTTGGAAAGCTTGGAATTTGTACTACAATCCATCTTTCTAATGCAAATTGAAACTCTAAGTGGAGCCATGTGAAATATGGCCAAGAAGTTGGACAAAAATCCTGCCTAGAATAGGTCAAAATTTCTCTAAGTTAAAAATGTTTTACACCCTTGTTCCAAAAATCATAACTTGAGATACAAGCTTCCTTTGAGAAAACTTTGTGAATAAAAGTTGTAGATTTTGCAATGTACTACAACTTTCATGTTTCAAGTTTTGTTTGAATCCATTTGCATTTTGATGAAAAAAAGGGACAAAGTTAGAAAAAAATAAGGAAATTTCATAACTTAGAAAATTTCTAAGTTATGAAATTTCTTCATTTTAAACCCTAATTTGCAATTTTGGATTTCTTGATGAACAAGTTTCATAATTTGACATGTCTTGATGAAAAATGAATCTCGGCACTTGATTTTGACCAAAAAGTCAAAGTTTGACTTTTCAGTATACAGTCAAATTTTGATCAGTTGACTGGAAAATTCATCTGTCAATCCTGTGCATTTGAGATCTTTTGAACTTGTTGAATGGGTCAAGATGATTCCATTGAGTCCTTGAGTCCATATGTGAGCTTGGTTTGCCATTGGTTAGGTCAAACAGTCAAAAATTGCCTTTGTGCAGTCAAAACCCTAAAAATGACCATTTTGCCCTTTTGGTGATCTGATCAAATTTCTTGTGGAATTGTGATCCAAACTTGACCAAATGGTTCATATGAGTTCATGATGTTGATGTGGGTCAAAAATTATGAGGTTTGACTGTCAATTGGCCACAGTTGACTTTTTCCCCAATATAGTTGATTTCTAGGTCAACTGTCCAATTGACTGGGCAAAGATTGGAATCAAGGCTTGAAACTTGGTATGGATAAACTTGTAAGTCCAACATGAAGCATGAAAGTCACTTTGGGAATTTTAGGTCAAAACATCTTTGTGCAAACTCAAACCCTAATTTGGGTCAACAATGCAAGGAGGGGTCTTGAGCAGAGCAAACCCTAACTTGATCTTGAGCTCCAAGAGTCTTGTGATGAGAAAATGTTGATGAAAAGGGAGGGAAAATTTTGGGGTACAACAAAGACAACTTAGAAGCAACTGATTCTTCTTCAAATGAATCAGTAACTCCACCAACTTTAGAGAAGAGAGTAAGAAGAGTTCCAACCTATCTTCAAGACTATACAAGTGGAGGAGAATTATCAGAAGATGAGGTACAAAATTTTCTTATGTTTATGTCTACTGATGATCCAATTTATTATGAAGAAGCAGTGAAGAAGAAAAATTGGAGAGATGCCATGGACAAGGAAATAACAGCAATAAGAAAGAACCAAACCTGGGAGTTAGTTCAAGCTCATCCAGAAGCAAAAATAATAGGTGTAAAGTGGGTTTACAAAACAAAACTTGATGAAAACGGTGAAGTTAGCAAGTGCAAAGCTCGCTTGGTGGCCAAGGGTTATGCACAGGAGAAAGGTGTAGACTACGACGAGGTTTTTGCCCCAGTTGCAAGATGGGATACCATCCGAATGGTGATAGCTCTAGCAGCAAGAAATGGCTGGAAACTTTATCAATTGGATGTCAAAAGTGAATTTTTGCACGGAGAGCTGCACGAGAATGTATATGTATCACAACCGCAGGGATATGAAGTAAAAGGAGAGGAGAGCAAAGTCTACAAGCTGAAAAGAGCACTTTACGGGTTGAAGTAGGCTCCAAGAGCATGGTTCAGTAGGATCGAAAGTTACTTTGTAAATGAAGGTTTCGAAGGGAGCTGCTATGAACACACCCTTTTCATAAAAAAGGAGGAAGATAAAATATTGATTGTAAGTCTTTATGTTGATGATCTTATTTTTACTAGTAATGATCTGAACATGATGCAAAGTTTCAAAAATTCTATGAAAAGAGAATTTGAGATGACTGATTTAGGCGAAATGAAGTACTTTCTGGGAGTTGAAGTGCGTCAAAATGCGAGAGGAACACACATAAGCCAAAAGAAGTATGCAGGAGAAGTTCTCAAGAGATTCAGCATGGGAAGCTGTAATGGAGTAAAGAATCCAATAGTCCCTGGAAGTATTAAGTTGTCAAAAAGGGAGGAAGGGAAGCAAGTTGATGGAACTCTTTTCAAGCAGATAGTGGGAAGTTTGATGTATATGACAGCAACCAGGCCCGACTTAATGTATTTTGTATGTCTTATTAGCCGATTCATGTCCAATCCAAAGGAAGTACACATGCTTGCAGCCAAAAGAATTTTAAGGTACATCAAGTCAACAATTGATCTCGACATCTTCTATGGAAAAGGATGCAAAGACGAGTTAGTAGCTTACACAGACAGCGATTATGCTGGTGATATAGATGACAGGAAGAGTACTTCAGGCTATGTATTCATGTTAAGCGGTGGAGCTGTTGCATGGGCATCCAAGAAGCAGCCAGTAGTTACTCTTTCTACGACTGAGGCGGAATACGTAGCTGCTGCGTTTTGTGCTTGCCAATGTATTTGGATGCAACACATCCTAAAACAAGTTAAAGGTACTCAATCTGACTGTGTTACAATGTTTTGTGATAATTCTCTACCATTAAGCTTGCCAAGAATCCCATTTTTCATGGAAGAAGTAAACACATCGATGTGAGATTTCATTTTATGAGAAATCTAACTAAGGATGGAGTTGTGGATATAAAGTTTTGTGGAACAAATGATCAACTTGCGGATATCATGACCAAGCCATTGAAGTTAGACCAATTTGAGAAATTTCGGAAGCACCTGAGAGTACAAGCAGCAGAAGATTAAACTAAAATGTTGTTTGCATGTTTAGCTTAGGGGAGGAATTGTTGGATTATTAATATTTGTTTTTGAATTAATATTTGTTTTTAGTCAGTTAATAAAACTCCTATTCAAAAGGAGTATCTAGGTTAAGACCTATTCTTTAGCATAGATTGTTGAAAAATAGGAAGTTCAGTTTTTTTTGTAAGGCTATTTATGCAGCTCGTCTTTCTGTTTTTTAATATCAAGCAAAGTTTATAGTTTCAATTACTTGTATTCTTACCTTGCTCAACAGCCATGAGCCCAGGAACAATAGTACACCGAGGGAAATAATTACTATGGGAAATCACATTTTCATAATACATTACCTTGGTACTTTGGGTATGTGTATAATTGCATCTGCTAGCCAAAATGCTATTAGACCCATAATAAAAGGTAAGAATTACTCATCTGCTAGCCAAAGTGCTATTAGACCCATAATAAAAGGTAAGAATTACTCATCTGCTAGCCATAGAACCCATACAACTAACTAGCTACAAAACACATGTGAAAATAATCTCACTATAATATTAAAAATTGGCCAGTTGAACATGTGAAACACAGAACGTGTGGCCGTTGATGTTCTGAAAAGTTATTAATGTTTTGTTGATGTAAAATATATCTGAATTTAAAGTAGCGAACTGGCTTAGTGGTAGTTTAAGTTGTTCAACAAACAAAAAGACCCTGGCTTGAATCCTATCTCAATTAAAAGTTTTAGAATTTTTCTTCGAGTTTTAATGACTTTCATGATGTATATATATCAAGTCAAATGCCACGCGTACAATGATACTTTAAAAGTTAAGGGACTAAAATAGATCCCTAGGTAAAGATAAGGGACAAAAAGGGTATTTTATCTTAAAATAATTTAAAGAATCCGTGGAGCAATTATGCCAAACTAAATCTTCCTTCCTTGCTTGACACCAATTTTCATCTCTACGTTCCATCACAACATTTTCTTATACGGGACCCATGAATCAGTGTTGAATATTATGATACGTACGTTGAACGTCCATATGGTTGGGGAAATAGATGGATTAGACAGTAGTAATAATGAACATCAACAACAATCTTAACCCATAAAAATCCATCATGCACATTGATTCATAGCACTCCAAACTAAAATTAATCAACCATGCTAAGATCCACTTCACAAATTCCCATTATTTGGCTTCTGCTACTATTGCTGCTATCTACAATAATATTTGAAAGGTGCAATAGTATGCAGTTTGCTAAATGTAATGAAAAGGATCGTTCTGCACTGCTCAACTTCAAACTTGGCGTGGACAGTCCTTCCTCCAACAGGCTTTCCTCTTGGTCTATCAATGAAAAAGATTGCTGTTCATGGAAAGGAGTTCAATGTGACAACACCACTGGAAGAGTTACAGCACTTGATCTTCACCAACAATACTTGGAAGGTGAAATCAACTTGTACTCTTTGTTTCAAATTCAATCTTTGACCTACTTGGACTTGAGCTTGAATGGCTTTACAACTCTAAGTAGTTTCGATGAATCACATGATTATAATCACAACTTGTCTAATATTCAGTACCTAGACTTGTCCTTCAATGATGATCTTCACTTAGATAACCTTAACTGGCTTTCCAAATTCTCTTCATTGAAATCTCTCAACCTTAGTCAAATTAACCTTCAAAATCAATCAAACTGGTTTCACATCATGGATATGCTGCATGCATCACTGTTAGAGCTGAGATTGTCAAGTTGCCATTTGACCAATATCTTTCCATCCACTAAGCATGTGAGTTTTACTAAATCCCTTGTGACCCTTGATCTCTCTGCAAACAATTTTGATTCTGAATTACCTGCTTGGCTGTTTGATCTCGGCAGCAATACAAATATCTCCCATATTGACCTTAGCTTCAATGTTTTACAAGGCCAAATACCCAAGAGCTTGTTAAACCTTACAAAACTTGAATTTTTAAGGCTGAGTAACAATGAACTAAATGGATCTATTCCGGATTGGTTAGGACAACATCAAAATTTAAAATATCTTAATCTAGCCGAGAATTTGTTTCACGGTTCTATCCCTTCATCTCTTGGAAATCTATCTTCCCTAGTTGATTTAAGTATCGGCTCCGATTTTCTGACGGGTAATATTCCATCCACCATTGGAAAACTCTTTAATTTGAAGAGTTTGTTCATTGGAGGAAATTTATTGTCAGGTGTTCTATCTGAAGAGCATTTCTTCAATCTCTCTAACTTAGAAACACTTGTCTTGAGTGCACCTATTTCATATGATATGGATTCTAAATGGATTCCTCCATTTCAATTGCAAGGGATAAGTTTAAGCAATACAAATCTAGGTCCTAAGTTTCCAGCATGGATATATACACAAAAGTCACTAGATTATCTTGAGGTTCCTAATTCTAATGTATCATTCATTGATGGAGATACATTTTGGAAATTTGTAGCTAATATTACACAGCTTAACCTGTCTAACAACAACATCAGTGCAGATTTATCAAATGTCATACTAAACTCAGAACTTATATTTATGGACCACAATAATTTCAGAGGAGGGCTCCCACATATATCAGCAAATGTCATCTATTTGGATTTGTCACACAATTCTTTCTTTGGAACCATTTCTCCTCTGTTTTGCCACAAAATAGGTAAGGAAAACAGTTTGGATTATTTGGACATTTCATCCAATCTTTTAACTGGAAAAATTCCTGATTGTTGGGAGTACTGGAAGGGCTTATCTTTCCTTTTCATGGAGAGTAATATGCTGACTGGTGAACTTCCACCATCCATGGACTCGTTTATCGATCTCATAATGTTGGATTTGCATAACAACAGCTTGTCTGGTAATTTTTCATTGGACCTGTCAAACTTAAAAAATTTGGAATTCATTCATATTGGAGAAAACAAATTTTCTGGCACTGTACCAGTGCAGATGCCACATGGTATGGAAGTGATGATATTAAGATCCAACAAGTTTGAAGGGAACATTCCACCACAACTGTGCAATATCTCTTCACTCATACAATTGGATCTTTCACACAATAAACTTTCAGGGCCTATTCCCAAATGCATAAACAAAATCACTGGCATGGGCGGAGAAAAGAAAACAAGCCATTTTCCATTTGAGTTCAATTTGTATGCAAAAGGGCAAGAGTTACAGTATTTAGACTACGGATTGTTGAGAACTCTCGACCTTTCAGATAACAACTTATCAGGTGAAATCCCCCCACAAGTTTTCAGTCTAGTTCAACTCCAGACATTGAACTTGTCTCGAAATCATTTCACAGGAAATATAGCAAAAGAGATTGGAAACATGAAAAACTTGGAATCTCTTGATCTATCCAACAATAAACTTATTGGAGAAATCCCTGATACCATTTCTACATTGTCTTTCTTAAGCTTCTTGAATGTGTCAAACAATAACCTTGTTGGACAAATCCCAGTCGGCACTCAGCTTCAGAGTTTTGATATTTCTTGCTATTTTGGGAATCCTGGACTGTGTGGAGCTCCTCTAGCAGTATGTTATCATGAGCCAAACCCAGATGAAGGACACAATGATACTGACAAGGAGGATTCTTTTAGACAGTCACTCTACTTTGGGATGGGTGTTGGATTTGCAGTGGGTTTCTGGAGTATTTGTGGTCCTGTATTCTTCAACAGGACTTGGAGGCACACTTATTTCCGACTCCTTAATCATGTCGTGGGATCTTCCAACTGAGGCAAGTGAAAGTTGAGTGTTTCGATATCAATACATTTACTAAGCTCTATTTAGGTTCACTTATTTGAATTTATGTACATTAGTAGAAAATATTCCCAACTAAATTGATTAGTTTGTCAAACCCCTAAGATAGATAACAGCTTATGTGGTTGTCTGGTCAGGCCGGAATCGGAGACAGAGTACATCGATAATTTGCTGGAAAGATAGGAAGAAAGTAAAATGGCACTAAAATTTGGAGGAGAACAGAATCAAATAGATGAAGCAGATTGAATGGAACCTTTCTCATGTATTTACGTTATTTTTTGGTTTGTTATGCTATTATGTATCAATAAAACAAACCAAAATAGACTGCTACGAAAAATTCCGTAATTGAAACTGTTTCATTCCAATATTATTCATTTAATCACTCAAGGTTTCTCTACACCAAAATACACTTTATATGTTGTAATAAAAAAGAAAAGAAAATTGAAGTGTACTCAAACCTCCATATTAATAGCCTCTGTTCAATGGTTCAACACAATTAATCATGGTTGCCATGGTTAAACACAGAACACTGTGCTGCTGGTCTCGACAATTCTTCGCCTGCGCTTGCCGGACACGTCATCAGTGTCGCCGGCGGCTTCATGCAGTTGTACAACAAGCACAACGACGCCGTATCAGGCATTACCGTTCCCTTTTCCAACGGTATACCCGTGAAGTAGTTATGCTGAAGGTACAATGTTCTGGTGCTCCCGCGGAACACGCTATTAACGTACTCCTTAGGCACTCTCCCAATGAAACGGTTATTGTTTAAAAGTAAGCTTTCGACTCCATCAAACACCGTTGATAATTCTCCACTAATTGAGTTATGACTCAGATCAACTATAGATCCTTGACCATACGATGAGGATCCAATCGACGGTTCTCCGTTGTCGGGTTTTTGTGGAAGCCCACCAGAGAGATTGTTGCGTTGTAGGAAGAGTGAGGAGAGAGTGGGCCTGAAGAAGAGTTGGGCTGGAATAGGCCCAATCAATTGGTTCATACTGAGATCGAGAAACTCTAACTCTGAAAGCGACTCTAACCCGTTGGTAAGTGGACCCCACATTTGGTTCTGTGATAACGAAAGATAACGGAGAGATGACGGTATTGACATTGGTAACGGTCCTGTGAGCTGATTGTTCTTCAAGTCCAAATGAAGTAACGGCGAGGAAACTTTTTCGGGTAAATAGCCGGAGAGAGAATTGGAAGCGAGGATTAGGATTCTGAGTTGTGGTAACTCGGTGAGACTCGGTGGGATTGACCCGGCGAGTTGGTTATGACTGAGGTCGAGTGTGTGGAGATTTGTTAGAAATGACAATGCGGAGGGGATGGTGCCGGTGAAGCGGTTGTTAGGCAATGAGATGACTCGGAGTTTCGTGAGCTGAGCGAGTTGGGGAGGGATGGAACCGGTGACGATTCCAGAGGAGAGGATGAGCTGGGTTAGCTCAGTGAGTGAGGAGATGGATGAAGAGAGTGATCCGGCGAGTTGGAGGGATTCGGTGCCGAGTGAGAGAATGGTGACTCGGTTGAAGTAGCAAGTGACACCGGAGAATGAGGAGCAGGGATTTGGTGCAGTGAGGTTCCAGGTGGAGAAGAAGGAGCCGGTGGGTGAGATTTCAGTAAGAGTGGTTTTGATGGAAAGAAGAGCTTTGAGATCCAATGGATTCATATATGAATTGTAAAGTTGTTGAGAATGAACAAAAGGGGGTGTGAAAAGCAAAACAAGTAGAAGAACAACAACAACCTTACAAGTTGCCATTCATACAAGGAATGAGAAATAAAAGTGCGTGTATGTTGGAAGCAGAAGCTTTTGGTGAAGAAAGTGCAGATCTTTCAGGAAAATGACAGTACAGATATTTTGGGATTAGTTTTTGTATTTTGGTGAGGTGGATGACAAGTGGGAAGAGGGGGTTCATAAAATAGAAGGAGGGTGTGGGTTACGAATACAAATACAATTGCAAGAGGCTCTCATTGCTCATGCATTTTGACTGACAGAGTTGCGTAAGTGTGGTGGGTCCCATTCTCGAGATTTTTGCAGAGGAATTTAACATGATGCATTTGCATTGCATTAATGAACAAACAGATGCTACCTTCAACGTCTATAGATTTTTTAGTTATAGGGACATAATGGTTTCAGATCTTGCAGTGCTGCTTCAATTACTTGTTCACCAAAATAGATAACAGAAGTTAATGTTATGTTTGATCTTTTGCGCGAATAATTCGTACAATTTGACCCGTTTCTAATAGTTAGTTACAAGTATAGTATGGTACAATCAACTGTTGTAAGTTGTTTTAGATTAGGTTAAAAAATTACTTCTGTCTTAACCGTGAGTCCGTGACTAATGTTGCACAACAATGCAAGTCCCGCAGACATTTTCCAACCGCAAAATAGAGTAAATTGAGAAATTGTGACCAAGTTAGGCCTAACGTAAAGATGACGAGCTTCAACGTTTGGGTTAGAATTTTCCTGTCACTCCCAGTCGACGTTACACCCGTTATTTGGCTGGTTTAATGTTTTCGGAAATTGCAGTACAAGAGGTAGGGCCTATGTCGTTGAAATCATTTCTGTGTGGTGTTAACACTTTCTGGTAAAAGGAGTTTTGGTAATTTGATGTTTTTAATAATTTATCTTATGGGGATTTTTTATTTTTATTTTTTAAATGACTAATTGGTAAATGTTTGACCTTTTAACTGGTATCATAAAAGCATTGCACCTCTACATGCCTCATTCATGGTTGAAAGATTATGTACCATTAAGATCAATTTGGTGTGGAAAGACTTAAAAGTATGGTGAAGAGCACACACCATAGGACTGAGTCCGATTAAAGGATAAAGTCGAAAATGTTTGCCTTAGATTAACAAGAGTTTGCCCCATGCCTAACGGAGGTCTGCTCCAAAATAATAAAATCGAGCTAGACAAGTTAGAAGGTCGGGTCGGCCCATCTGATTGAAAACGAACATAAGAGGGACAATTGAATAAAGAGACTTAAGGCATAGATAATACATTCAAGACAAATTAATAAATACTAAGGGTTGAGTTTAGGCAAGAGAACCGTGATTTTAATAACCATTAATTGATCTTTCTCAATTAGAGGAACAATGGCCTTGTGGCCTTTTAATAAGTCTTAAATATACAGAATATCATAAGTATTATATAAATTTGTGATCATAGAAGAATGAAGAGATACTCAACACAAATAATTTTCAACGTTAGTCTGATCCCATCTCATGATGGTAAGGGATGTTACCAGTGGTAACAATAATGTTCAAGTTGTCATAGGGGAGATGCTAGCCATTACGAAGAAATCATGTAGCCAAAATGAAACATTGTAGAATGAATGTGACATGCATCATTAACAAACACAATCAGTTGCAATTAAGCAAGAAGAACTTGCAGATCCTTAACAACTCGCTGTTGAGATTTTAGACGCTTCAAGCCCCAACAATTTCCAACCACTTTCCCTAGTAGCATTTGATGGCAAAAGAGCTCCCCGAGCACACATAATCTCCATCAACACTCAAATGGCTATGGTTAGGACAACTGACTCACTAAAATGCAAATTGATAGACGAGACTTTGAAAGAGTAGACCTTATGATGGTATACTAGTCTCTTGAGGTTCTTGATATGAAGCTACCTGAATCTGGCGAGAAAGATGATCCACCATTTCTCGACCAACAAACACCGAAAGTTCTCTGCGACGAGCTTGTTAAATTTTTTCCAAGGTTTCCAAGTCATTGTAGGAATACTTATCTTTTTTTAAAGAGGAAACCATCAAGGTCGTTGATTCGAACCAAGAGATACTTGTTGGAGCTTTCCATAATGGCCCCAAGGTCGGGCACTTTAATAAGTCTTAGCCTAGAAGCCAACAACCTCAATGGAAGAAGTTATGGCAAGGGAGGAATGTTATATGAAATTTTGGTGTACAAATTACAGATGTCCTAGGAGATGTCGAGACACTGAAATCTGACTTTATCACAATGACAAGGTATAAACAACGTAAATAATGCTGAAAAGTAAAGGAACACACTGAATTGTTAACCTAGTTTGGTGTACACTAACACCTACTCTGGGGACTACCAAGCCAGGAAGGAAATCCACTAAATAGTATCAATTCGAAGCTAAACTCCATTGTTTACAACTTCTCACTTAATCACTACATGTGCTATATTTCTATCTAAGACACGCCTAGATATGAGACTCCTCTCACTTCCCTTACAGTCACAGATAGTGAAAAGAACACACAATCACAAACAGTGACAAGAACTCAACTTAAAATACTCAGAAGACAATCTTCAAGAACACACAATCACACTATACTTAGATGTTTAAGTTTGATTGCTTCACAAGATCCATACCAATATTGTCTTTTTGCAGCAGAAGAATCCACCTCCTCATAAGACAATAGATCAGATCTCATTATCTGATACTCTTCCATTGCACCCACTAGCAATTGCTGGTACAAGTGAATTCTTCAATATGATGATAGTCATACATATACCATGTACCCAACTTTAGATATGGTCAGAAGATTTTCACCATAGTTAGAAAATCCACTTCTGAAACTAGCCTTGAGCATCAAGTTTCACATTTATAATCTCAAGCATCTCCCAAAATAGTCATCAACAAGCATGACGTTACAAAATCACTTGGTACACCAGCTTCTCATCACAGAACCATTCACTTTGGTTCTTGATTCACCATCCATAGAACTTTATATACCCAGAAGTCCTTCTTTCAAGCTTGTACAAGAAGATATCCATATGAAACATCCTCTGTAGCTTATTCAGGTCACCATAAACTATGGAGAGAAATAAACTCTTACATACTTTCTAAAGCATAATGTTCAGACGGCAATCCTCCATCAATACATTAGACAAATGCATAACTCTTTTCTTTACTTTGGAAAGATGTCAATCACAATTGAATTGACATCAGTCACCTGCACAACCACATGAGAGGAACAATTCCTCATGTCCATTCCTTCACAGTTTCTCTTAGAGGTACAATCAACAAATATGACTACTGTTCTGGACTGGCCTGAAATCTTGAGTGGACCCACTCTAAGACATCTCGTAGGTGCCACCCACTGACCGCGACCCAGAATGCCCACACCTATCGGGCAATGTCACCCTCTTGCCCTTCTGGTCTAACACCGATCCAAGATGCCCGTC